CCGAGCACCGGGTCGGGGCCGAGCCCTTCGTGGCTCAGTGGGCTTCCCTCTGGTCGCTTTCCTCGTTCTCTGCCCCGGCGTTAGGTCACTCTTTTGGCCGGCCCGTTATGTCCCAGGCCGGTCTTCCCCAATCAGACTTCAACTCCTTGTCTCGTTTCGGGTCATTTTCGTTCTCCATAACACATAATATCACTTGGGCCCCTCTTATATATTTATTAAAAAAAAGATTCATTAATCAAACTTCTACTTATTTAATACATTTATCATATGCCTAACAAACTTCCCGTCCCTATTGAATTTTCGTCGACCATCAACATTTACATGTATCAATGTAGCTTCTCCCCGGACAAAATGTCTAATATTTAAAATGCTTTGTTAGTTAAGGGTCAAGATACTGGGTCAAAAAAAATTAATGTGACTTCAACAAAATATAAAATGATATATGTATGTATCTGTGTATATATAAACATAATATCAATTAACATATTATTAATAATTTTAACTTATATAAAAAATGTGAAATGTGAAATGCTTATTTAATAAATTAAATTTTTGTTATGATTCTTTTTTCATTTAGAAGTATTCATCCGCATTTGTATTTACATTCTCATAAAATTGCCTCAACATTTTCATCATCGACTTTTTAAATAAGATCAAAAGAGTCCGAATTTAGGAGGTAAATCATAAAGAAATACTTAAAATTTAGGGTCTTTCAATTTAGATTTTGTTTCTTTCAAATTAAATCATCAAATTAATTCAGCAAAAGTTTTTTGATTCTATCAAATCAAATCAAATTAATTCAAAAAAAGTGTTATGATCCAAATAGTGAAAATTCTGAAAATATTTTCAGTGCTTTCAAATTAACTTTAAAATACAAAAGTACATAATTATATAAAATATTGAACTAAATATTTCGTTGGCAACGACCCACTCAATTTTCATATCGGCTAGCAAACACATATCTGAAACATAGAACAAAACTCTATTTTTCATTGAATCACTTGTTTCAGATCAAGATCCAAACAGACCCTTGTAACTTTTTATATAATTTTATTTCCCTTCCGCTCCTGCTTAGATCAATCTCAAGAAATAGGACACTGCAGTCTCCACTCTCATCTAACATATAATAAAACACTTGTTCATTGATTTTTTGTTCCAAAAAAACATCTAAAAAGCAGCGGAATACCAACATGCACTAAAATCCAGTAGCAGTGTACCATCGAATCGTGGCTGCCCAGCAACTTGGCACGGTTCTGGTTTGACGATTCAACGGGAAGATTTCTGGAATTCAGAGTATATGGCAAACAGCAGGACCCACCACCATGTGAACTGCAAAATCTGAATTGTAATCAGTCACATTCTCCAATAATCTATTTGATTCTGGTCGCCAAAAATGTTCCGCAACCCATGAATTGTTTTGATTCTTCTGTATCAACCAGTTTTTCAAACTTAGATAGATTTCATTTCTATATCTGGGCTCTCTTTTGAGTTGATATCAGGGCCTTCCTCCGGAAGAAGGCCAAGGAGGGGCAAAGGCAACAGTGAGCTCAGATTGCACAGGATTACTAGAGAGGTTAAATTATCAAATCTATCTTTAGTGATACCAAAGATCTGTGTCAAAGCAGCACCTATCAAACCTCCAACAAGACTACCTCCGTTAAATATAGACATGAGAGTTGCAAAAAGGGTGGCCTCCATCCCCTCCGGACATATTCTTGCAGCTAGCACGAGAACCGGCATGAATGAGGCCTGAAAAATGACTCAAAGAATGAAGCCAGACAACCACAAGAAAGCGACTAAAAGGTTTTTGAAAATAAAAGAAGGCTCATGAGTGGCAACTAGAACCAAATATGACTTCTATTTTCAGAAATTATGAAAAGATGTTAAAAGAGAGAACAAGTGCTTTGTGCCACGACAAGAAGAATATGGGGAATGGACAGAATGATAATAAATTGTTTACGCATACAAGGAACACATGCTTGAAATAATGTTGGATCTTTTGTTGTGGGAAATCTTTCTTTATATTTTCATAGAACTCTCCTTTGTCTGAACTATGGTAAAAAAGCCGTCTATAAACGTGTTCTTTCTTCTCTTGCACAACCAATTACGATCCCTTTTGTCTTTTCTTCTCCTTGATTAGTGTTCCATAGCAAAAGAGCCACATTATTCAAGCATGTGGCTGAATTCGACATAAAGAATAAGCCAAAGTGATGCACATCAAGGAATATTATTTCCAATTATTTTAGAATTTAGACATCTTCTAATATTACAATTTAAATAATTTCCTTATCTTTGGAATTATATTTTCTATTATGCTTATAATTGGCCTCTATAAATAGGCATTTTGCAGACGCCCCGGGCCTTCTTTGAGCATGGAGTTTTCCCGTTCCACTTTCCCTCTTTCTCTGTCTTACTATGCATATGCTGATATGCAATATGAAGTGAAAAAGTATTTTTATCCTTGAAAATATTTGCATTCAAGATTGAGGACAGAGGTGTGACACTTGAGGAAAAACATACTACCTGACCAAGAACTGTGATGATTAAAGAGTCCCCAATAGCAAACCACTCATCGCTTATGCCAAACTCTCGATTTAGTCCAGTAACAAGAAAAACCTGAGCCACACACATAGACATAATGGAAATCAGACACCAATGTTCTTTTAATTTAAAATAGCATCAGGAAACAGAAAAATATAAAATAAGGGGAAAGTAAAACTGTTCCAACCTGAGTCATCCCGAGAGCTGAACCAATTATTGACATGACTAGAAAAATTTTCCTCAAAGCAACATTTTTAAGAAACGCATTGTACAGTGCTACACCAACCAAGGAAGCAATTGATGTAACCAGTTTAACCCGTCCAAGAAACTCTGGGGTGAATCCCAGTTTATTTGTGCTGAGAAAAAATTTACTGATGTCATATCTGAAGTAATTAAAACCTTAAAATGATTGTTCAACTCTACACTTCGCACAAAGTGAAAGATAATAACCATGTTCTATGATAGCAAACTACACTTACGCAAAGAAGAACATGGCTGAGTCTGACTGTGGTGTTGCCTGCCACAGAAAAATGAATAGTGTGGGAAGATATACATTTGGCTGTCTTACAGCAGTCCATAAATTAAATATGTGCTGTTTTGAGGTTTCAATAAAACCCAAGGCACCTGGAGGAAGATTGGACCCATTTACAGGGACACAAACAGGCTGTTCTTCAACAAGAACAGCAACTGCTGATGTTATCAAAGGTAGTAAGGCTGTGACTCCAAACACAAACCTAAGAGATCCAAATTGAAGAAACATAATCACAATGCTTGCTACAAGGAAAATTACAGTGAAGTGAAAG